TAATTACTATTATTATTATTATAATTATTACTATTATTATTCATTAATCATCTAACTGATTCACAGGCTTCCCTGGGTTAAGAACGCTGGCACATCGGTTTTGAAACAAGATGGCCCGTTCAAGGATGATGTTAGAAACATCTTGTTCTAGTTGCCGCCTAAAAGCTACTACACACAAGCCGGGTTTATGCCGAGCGGCTATGCCGTCGGCAATACAAGCCGCCGGCACAAGCCGCGCAAGCCGCCAAGCATCATTCCGGTTGTGACAGTCACATAGAACGCTAGTGAAGTGCATATTTTATGGTTGGTTGGTTAAAATGAATAAGGAAATCATCAGCACAGCCGCCGCAGTTGTAATTTTTATTTTAATAAGAAAAAAATACAAAAGGACGAGAAGGTTTTGGTTGCACCCAAGTTCACAAAATAGAAAATGGCGAAACGGTACTGTAATGATAGAAGAGTATAAAAAAGATGATATGGGGTGTCAGCGTTTGCGCAATAGCATGTTTTTGGGTTTTCGTACATCGTCTATGCCTGCACCAGATTTGTGCAACTGTTCGAACTTCTTTGTTCCCGAAAATAATACGAGGTTACATTTTTTAACTTTCTCTCTACTTCGCCTTTATCAATGTCAAATACACTTGCAATTATGTTCAATGCGTCCATTCGATTGTTCCTATTCTTATAGTCTGCATTTCTGGGATTCCATAATATATCATTTTCATGAAATTTTTCAATTAAGAGCAGCGCAGCTTCGTCGTCCCAATTAAACGACATTTTAATTTTTTTAAGCACACAAACCGCACAACACTACCTCTCGAATGCCAGGAACGAAGTGACGCCGGCAAGCCGCGTAACCCGCCGCCACACCCCGGCGGGTCCTTTGCGCGGCAAGGCCGGCGGCTTTGTATGCCGCCGGGTGCACGGAGGCTTAGCCGACGGCCCTGCCGCCGGCACTGTGTGTAGCAGCCTTAAAACTCTACGGACTATGTGTCCAACACGACCGACTTTTGCATGGGTAAGTATAATTCAAACGGTAATCCTAGTTGTTGCAGTGATGTTTTTAATTTTTTAGATATTTCTCCAGTTGCTCCGATCACAATGGGGATGATGACTACTGTTTCCATGTCCCACATTTGGCGGATTTCATCGCTCAGGGGTAGGTATTTATTGATTTTTTCTCCATGTGTCTTTTCTAGGTTGGCTCCCAATGGCACAGCGAAATCTACTATGTATGTTTTGTTTTCATTTTTTAGAGTGAGCACGATATCCGGTATATTATTACTTATCGGTCTATCAGTTATAATTTTTCGATTCCAGGAGAGCCGGGTTTGTTCATCTTCGCACCCAGCAGGCGGCTCGTATAAATAGTACGGCACTATTTCTGTCAATTCCAAGTACTTTTCACGAAGGCTTTGGTGGATTATCTTTCCGACTCTGTTGTGCCTGTCTAGGTAGGATTTCGGTGCCAACATTGAACAGCCAGCGATGATGTGGTCCAGGTATTCATCCTTTTCACCGCACACACGACATCTGATATTGTCTTGTCGTTCCCGCATTATGTTTCTTTTATATCCTTTAGTTGCGATGACCTGATCTTGGATAGCAGATATGAACCCTTCTGTCTCAGCAAACAGGTTTCCAGAGCGGAGGTAGGCCGTGGATGCGAAGGTATCGATCTTATCGCTCTCGAGTAGAGTGCGGTATTTACCATGAAGTGCCTTACTCTTCCATTGTTGCAGTTGTTGCTCGGGTATGAGCTGGTCCACGCTAAGGCTGAAGTTTTGGTCTGCCAGTTTTAAAGGAGTAGCCCTATTGTCCGCCCTTATGATAGCGTGGTGAATCTCACAGGACGCAGCGCTGGCGAGGAAGTATACTAAGTGATATATAAATCCGAACACCCAGTTTAAATGGTTTTATTTTAATAAAATTTTGTATAAGTACTTAATGAAGCATAATAAGTAAATGATAAAAATTTCAAAATGATTGCACTGCTTTAAAGCCCTTTGACCTTTAATAATGTGTGGATGCACCCTGATGTGCTACGCATTCTCCAACGCGCCTAGGCATGCTTCTGATCAGGTGGTCAATGTCCTCCTGTGGTATCTCATTCCAGGCAACCACCAACTCCTCTCGAAGTGCTTCTAGAGTCTGAGGAGGACGTTGCAAATTGAGCAATCTCCTACCCATCATATCCCACATGTGCTCAATTGGGGATCAGTCGGGAGATCTTGGTGGCCATGGTAACAATGTGCCATCATTATGTTGAAAGAAGTCTATTGTGACTCTTGCAACATGTGTGCGGGCATTATCTTGTTGGAAAGTTGGATCTGCCAGGGTGTCAAGATAGGGTAAAAGATGGGGTTCTAGAACTTCGTGGGTATAACGCTGCGCGTTCATGTTACCTCTGATGAAGATTAAAGGTGACCTGGAACCATAAGCTATAGCACCCCAAACCATAAATCCAACAGTGTGATGAACATGTCTTTCAACAAAAAACTGTGGATTCCTCCTTTCACCACGTCGCCTTCTAACCCTGGCACGACCATCGTGCATGCCTAAACAAAATCGAGACTCGTCACTAAAGACAATACTGTTCTATTCCTGATCCCAGAGTGACCGTTGTCTGCACCACTCAAGGCGATTACGTCGGTGTTCTCGAGTTAAAGGGACGACCCAGTGTGGCCGGTATGAAAAAAAGCCAAAACTTCTCATTCGTCGGTAAACACTTCGCATGCCAATAGGTCTTCCGTATTCTGCAAACCATTCATTTGCAATGGACCTGGTTGTGGAGAAACGGTCCCTTAAGGCCAATAATCTTAGGCGGCGATCTTCACGGTCTGTTGTTCTACGGCGGCGTCCAGTGCCCCTTGCTCTTTGCGTACGGCCTTCTCGAAGCCATGCCTGACAACACCTAACCACAGTGTCTACACTTCTTTGCACTCTAGCTGCAATTGCCCGAAAAGAAAGTCCAGCTTCCCGAAGTCCCACTATACGGCCCCTATCAAACTCACTAAGTTGACGAAATCGTACAGGTCTCCGTACTCTAGGCATCGTAACCGATCGTAAAGGATGTCAAGAACCAAAATCCGCCAACGTTGATTCTTTAATGCGGCTGAAATATTCATTTTTAGAGCGTTAGTGAATTAAAAAAAGCAGTATAAAAACCGGAATGTCCAACTGATAAGGCTGAAATTTTTTTCACTTGTTATTTACAGTAAGATAAATACATTCACTAACTTTTATTAAAATAAAACCATTTAAACTGGGTGTTCGGATTTACATTATATGTCACTTAGTATAGTTCCTATGGTTTGTTACTTGCCTGTTGTGGTTAATAACTAGATCAGGTATACCTCTTCCACCCAACTTTCTAGGCAAGTGGAACCTTTCCAATGATGAACGTGGATGATGTGCTCGAAATTTGCTGAACTCTTTTCTGGTTTTGATATTGAGGTTTTTGAGTTCTGTTGCTGTCCAGTGAATCACTCCAAAGCTATAAGAAACTGCAGATGTGGCATAGGTGTTAACTGCTTTTGCCATGTTCCTGACAGACAGCTTAGTCTTCAGTATCGACCGGATTCTTTTAATGTAGGTGTCACTTACTGTCTGCCTTTGCTGCTGTATGGTCTAAACCTCTTGCTTGCAGATATCCGAGATATTTGTACCTTTCTCCCTCTTCCATTCCGACGATGGTTTGCCGCTCAGCAACTTCATATCCCGCGTGATGTACCCACTGGCCCTTCTCCATCCCGCTGGTCCTACATTTGTCCAGCCCAAATGACATTTTTATGCCGCGACTGAATCGGGTGACGCAAGTCAGAAGGTCGTCAAGGTGTTTTTTAGACTTTGCATACAGCTTTAAATCATCCATGTACCAAAGGTGGCTAATATTCTTGTCTGAGTGTGGCAGTATATAACCTTTGCGCTGCCTATTCAACATAGTTGTCAGGGGTCGCAGCGACAGACAGAACCATAGCGGACTTAATGCGTCCCCTTGGAATATTCCATTTTCTATTTTAATGGTACCTGCATCTACACTTTTTTGATTGGTGTTTAAAACAATTCTGGTTTTCCACTGAGACATAGCGTAGTTCAGTAAATTTAGTACATGGGGCACGACTTTATAAAGCTGTAACACCTCGGTTAGCCAGGAATGAGGCACGCTATCAAACGCTTTTTGGTAGTCTATATACGCTGTGTGCAAAGAGCCTTTTGAGCGTTTCGCGTGAGATGTGATGACCATATCTATTATCAATTGTTCTTTACACCCTCTGGATCCTTTTCGGCAACCCTTCTGCCCTTCGTCCAACAGGTTATTTCTTTCCAAGTCGCTGTATATCTTTTCCGATATGATGGACGTGAATATTTTATATATTGTAGGAAGACAGGTGATCGACCTATATTTGGATGGATCTTCTGAGGACACCTTCGTTTTTGGTAACAAATAAGTGATACCACTGGCCATGAATGGTGGTAGTTCTTCAGGGTTGGACAGCAGGTGAGTATAACATTTGGCTAGATGTTGATGACTGACCTTGAATTGTTAATACCAAAAATTTTGTATTTTATCTTGTCCAGGTGCGTCTTGTGTTACTTTCCTTATACCGTCGGAGCTTTTTAGCCATAGCCTTGAGCTTTTGCTTAAGGTGATCCAGTATTTCTGTTGCTGTTGGGTTTTCGAGGCTTTGTTCCCTTTCAAGAATGGCCTTGGCTTTCTTAGTGACTGAGCTGCTGGGGTTCAAGCTTTGATTTTGTGTCAGAATTCCTATATCCCGCCTGATACTATCGATTTTATTAGTAATTCGGCGCTGCCATGTTGGCGTGACTGAGACATTTTTAACCTGTGCGTCCGTGGAGATTTTCTGCTTGTTTAGTGTTGCTGCTCCACTATAAATAAGGCTGTGTAGATTTTCGATGGGTATATCAGTTGTTATTTTGGAATCCAGAATTTTTTTGATTTCACTCAATATAGGTTTAATCTTTTTATTATAAATTAGTTTGGGAAGTCTAGGTTTCATCATAGGGTCCACTCCATCCATCATAAAGCAAATGAATCCTTTCGAATTCCAGCTCAGAAGCAGAGGGTGGCCTGTTGGCCTCCGGTACAGGGGCCACTGGTTCATCGTAAGCATTGGGGAGATCAGCAGGTAAATTTATAGATAGCTCTGACGCAACTTCGCGCTTTATTTGTGTAATAATATTTGGTGGTAGGCGTCTATTTATAAATATAGATCTTCGCTGGTCTATGATATTTTGAATGGTCTTATGACGAAGCATTGGAAATTTTTCAGTTACCAGTCTATGTAGGTCTCGGCTGTATGGAGTTTTGGCGGTTTCTAGTCGGGTTAATCTGTAATAGCAGCGAACCATGAATTCATTGATTTCTTCTGTCCACATGGTTCTTTGCCTAACTGTGCCTTGTGACGTGGTGGGCACGGGCTCTGATGACCCAGCAACACCGACATCTTGGCTTGGTACGATCGGTGGTGGTGTACTCGACTGGGTTGGTAATCTGGTTGGTCCTTGTTCATTGCCGCGGTAGGTTGCAGGTAAATCTTCAAGACGGTTCCGACCCGACTCCTGCTGCGCCGGCCCGCCTGAGTATCTCTATTTCTCGTTTTAAGAGCATTTAAATATACACTTTCTAGGGGTGCTAACCCATAGAGGCGGTGGTGCTAGTTTTTGTCACCCCGGGTATTTTATTTCCCGTACCCTCCATATCTGGAGAGCGTTTTCCAATTCGCACAGGGAGGCGCCCGTGGGGAGACTAGCAACTCCACACGGATTATATTATATTATTATTATTATTATATTATTATTAGTATTATTATTATTATTATTATTATTATTATATTATTTATTATTATAAAATAATAATAATAATAATAATAATTATAATTAATAATAATAATAATAATAATAATTAATGAATAATAATAATAATAATAATAATGAATAATATATAAGAATATAATTAATAAGATATAATTATTATAATAATACTAATATGTATCATACTCATAATAATAATTATCATAATAATAATAATAATAATAATAATAATTATAATAATATTTATAATAATAATAATAATAATCATAATAATAATAATTATAAATATAATGATAATAATAATAATTATAATAATAATAATAATGATAATAATAATAGTAATAATTATAATAATAATAATAATAATAATAATTATAAATATAATAATAATAATAATAATAATAATTATAATAATAATACTAATAATACTTCTGGGACCACCCTCGTATATCTTCGTCAATACTTGAATCGCCAACTAGACTCCTATAGAACTTCTTGAAATCCTTGGATATGAGATTTAGTAATAATTTTAAATCGTCTAGCTTCTTTTCTGTTATAGGTTTCCCATTTGACCACAGTTTTTCGAGAGGTTTACTATACTAAGCAATGCTTGAATCGAAGCATTCGATGGACTGCCTCGTCTTTTCTCAATATTAATTTGTTTAGAGGGAGCTTCAAAATCAGTCTTAACAAAAATACCGAAAGACTTGTCTTTAAACACCTCAGTTGCTCTAATTTTGAGCCAAAAATACTCAATCATATCTTCAATTTTCCAACTATTACAATTTTATTTTCAGAAAGTTGGAATTTTCTCATAAGCTGTCTAGAGACTTTGAATCAATAGCGATGAGTCCAATATGAGGCCATTTGATTATCGCTGGACAGCTCGTGAAAAGTAATAATTGGAAAATTGCAGAAAATGCTAAGCGTTTTCTAATGCATTTTTTATGGACGTTGAGAACCTGAGAAGCTCAACTTTTGGCTATTATTTCAGATTTGCCGTTATGTGTTTCCCAGTAGGAAGTAAATTCAGAAATCGACTCGATAAGAAATAAACAGTTACGGAAAATTGGCCGTGTAAGGCCTCAATATTATCGTATTTTTATCCAGTACAAATTTTTTTGGATTACTTTCGCTAATAATTCCTTCGCTGGATTCTTATCGCCCGGACTTAAAAGTAGATACATGGGGAGTGTCGCTTCCACGGCCCCAGGCAGGAGGAAGTTCGGGGTTTGGTGGTCTTGCCTTTTTTACTGCCAAACCCTGGGCTTTTTCCTTTCTTTTTCCCTCTTCCTCTCTGCAATTCTTCATTCCTAGCTTTCGTCTTTATCTCTCTCTCTTTCTCTGCCTCTCTCTGCTTTGTTTCCCATTCTTCGGGGAGAAAACCCCAAAATAAATAAAAATCCGGAACCCAAGGTGTCAAACGTTACCGTGCTGAGGGGTGAATGGCCCTACGTCAGTGGGTCTTGAACGGTGTGCTCCGGATACCAGGTGCCCTCCGCTTCTATTTAGCCTTCCTACAGTATTCAGGCTCTGCTGTAGGTGACCGTTACTTCTTGTATGACTCGTGGGACTTAGATGAGTATTCCAAGCCCAAATTTGATAGAGTTGTCCGACTCTCAAAACACGGAACATACGGGTTTATCCGAAACCCAGCTTAGATCGTGTCAGGAAAAGGCGGTAACTCCCCGGTTCCTGACCATAGTTAAAAAAACTGGTGGCGATTACGCCACAGTGAGTCCGTTCGTGATCCAGAAAAGTCTATTTGGTTTGGTAGGAGAATTAAGAAAAGTCAGTAAAGTTCGTGAAGGTCTACTTGTAGAATGTGTGTCGGAGAAACAATCGAATGCATTACAAAGGGTTACAAGATATTTAGATGAAGATGTGACTATACAGGGCCATAAAACCCTGAATGTAACAAAGTATATTGTACGGATCTACTGAATTGTCCACTTGAAGAGATCCGAGAAGAACTCGCTGGTCAAGGAATAATTGATGTTAGACGGATTACAACAAGAATAAATGGCGAGGTAAAAGATACACCAAACCATATTCTCACTTTCAACAGCACCAAACTGCCAGAGAAAATTAAAGTTGCCTTTTACTCCCTTCCAGTGCGGATGTATGTGCCTGCCCCCTTACGTTGTTTCAGATGCCAAAAATTTGGCCACGCTTCTTCTAAATGTCAGCAACAAGCCATTTGTGTGTGCGGAAGTCCACTCCATGAAGGATATCCATGCCAACACCCAATTTCCTGTATAAATTGTAATGGAAATCATTAGGCAGATATCCAAGAAATAAGGGCAAAGGAACGATTGGGATATTTAGAAGCAAAGAAAAAGGTAGTTGTCAACACTCCACAGCCTAGGGTATCATATGCCCAGTCTGTTTCTACTTTTCCCCAGATAGATTCAAAATTTCTTGTACAAGAACTACTACCACCTCTTATCACTGCCTTGAAAAGCGCCCTTAACCCTGCAGAACATGATAAAGAAAAATTACCTGCGCCTTCAACATCTCATGTTAAGCTACATAAGTCCAACACCGTAGTTGAAGAAGGAACGCTGGGCTCCTCGTCAGAAGTGTCAGTGGACTTACAATCTTCAAAAGCAGAAATAACACCGAAACGGCGTGGGAGAAAAAAGAAAAAGGGTTGGCCCAGGGGAAAACCTCGGAACACAACCTCTTATAATATTTATAGTTTGATAAACATCTTATTTTAATCTTTAACTTATTACAGTACTTACCAGTTTGTTTTATTTATATCCAATACCACTGCATATATTTATATTATCTTGGCATTTATAACATTTACTCACTATTCATTATAATTTAACTTTAAACAAAACAAAAAAAATTATCACATACAATGGAATCAATAATTTATTGGAACTGCAATGGTATCGTACAAAAATATTGCGACCTAAAAATATTACTGCATAACCATGACCCCATCTGCGTATGTGTGCAAGAGACTCACTTACGTCCCAATTTTCCGTATAACCTAAAAAGGTATAACATCATTAGCAAGGATATCTCATCTGAAAGCAGAGCTCATGGAGGTGTTGCAAATATTATTAAGAAAGATGCTAACTTTGAAAGTATCCAAATAATGTCTCCATTACAGGTCGTTGCAACCAAGATCTTAACTCCATTTAAGGTAACTGTTTGCAACATCTACCTTCCAAATGGGAAATAGCAATTGGAGGACATTGAGTATATTATCTCGCAGCTACCCACACCATTTCTACTTGTAGGAAACTTCAATGCGCACAGTCCATTATGGGGATCTACTAGAACTGACTGTCAAGGGCGCTCAATTTCCGAACTAATAGAAAGAGATGACCTTACATTGCTAAATGATGGTTCACCCACACACTTTTTTGCGCGTTGTCAAAGCTTCTCAGCAATTGATTTGGCTATATGTTCATCCACAATTGCTGGACGTGTCCTCTGGTCTGTCTTAGATGATCTTCATAACAGTGACCATTTTCCATGCAAGGTGACCCTCGATACACATAAAGCCAATACACAAATTCCTCAATACTGGATCATGCCAAAAGCAGATTGGCATATATATGAACAGCAATTTTCCTCCTTAGAACTTTCTCAGGACAGCAGTGTATCGGTAGAGTTTATAACAAACGTTATAAATGAAGCGGCTCATACTAGTATCCCACTCAGTAGAGGTATCCTAGGTAGACGTACACTACCCTGGTGGAATAGTGAAATTGCTGAATCTATCAGAATAAAGAAAAATATGCTAAATACATTCAGAAGGCATCCTTCCACGGCAAATTTGATTTCCTTTAAGCGGGCCAGAGCTAGGTCTCGACGCCTAATGTTGGAAAATCAAAGGCAGTCGTGGAAAGATTATGTATCCAGCATAACATCTGAGTCCCCATCAAGTGAGGTATGGAATAAAGTTCGCTCGATCAAGGGTAATGGATCACTAAGACAAATAAACCACCTCCGCAAAATAGACGGAACAATCATAAATAATGAAAATAGCATCGCCAATCACCTTGCAGACCATTTTGCTAACATCAGCAGCTCCTCCAACTATAATGAGACCTTTAGAGCCCAGAAAATGCAACGATAGATCCATACAGATTTTTCCACAAATAATTGTCTCAATTATAATGTTTCCTTTGAAATGCATGAATTAGAGGCAGTACTTCAATATGTCTCCAGATCAGCTCCAGGTCCAGATAAGATTAATTATGAAATGATCGTACATCTACCACAGAAATTCAAAGTCATCCTGCTGAACATCTACAATGAGATATGGGTATATGGTGTATATCCTACATGTTGGAAACTTGCCACAATTGTACCAATTTTGAAAGATGGTAAGGATCCCCTGGTGGCTTCCAGTTATAGACCTATAAGCTTAACCTGCTGTCTGGGTAAGATACTGGAAAGAATGATTTGTGAACGTTTAATGTGGATTTTGGAAAATGATGAACTGCTTGTAGGACACCAAGCAGGATTCAGGAGGTTTAGATCCCCATTGGACCAACTAGTCTACGTTGAGGACTTAATACAAAATGGCTTCAAAAACAGACAGCATACTGTGGCTGTAATGTTTGATGTAGAAAAAGCCTATGATATGACGTGGAGATATGATATCCTCAAGCAGTTACATCGCTGGGGAATTAGAGGAAATCTACCAATACTTGTATCATCATTTTTGACAGATCGTCTCCTCCAAGTACGAATAGGAAATACGTTTTCCACAACACGCATCATGGAAAATGGTATCCCACAGGGATCAACCCTCAGCTGCATTCTTTTTACGATAGCAATAAACTCCATCACTGAGAATGTCAATCCTGCTATAAACCAATGCTTATATGTTGATGACTTATGCATTCTAACTTCAGGAAAAACTGTTGGTGAAACTACTCGACTTCTACAACCTGCTATTGATACCATCTTTCAGAATGCTAAGAACAAAGGATTGACCCTATCACGGATAAAAACACGATGTATCCATTTCTGTAGGCTTAGACGACCACACTATGATCCACGCCTCTGTCTCAACAATGAACGCATACCCTGTGTATCTTCTGTCAAATTCCTAGGCCTAACACTTGACAGTAAACTGACATGGAGAGAACACATTGAGGATCTTACCAACAGGTGCAAGAGAGCCCTAAACCTAATAAAATGCCTGTCGTCAACACGATTCGGAGCAGAAGCTGAGATGCTGTTGCGGATATACAAGAGCATCATTCTATCTAAGCTTGACTACGGTAGCATTGTTTACTCATCTGCAAGACCGTCACTGCTTAAAAAACTTGATACAGTTCACAACCAAGGATTACGTCTCTGCCTTGGAGCATTTCGTACAACTCCAGCAGCTAGCCTCTATTGCGAATCCGGAGTTGAACCTCTATCCATTAGACGTAAAAAACTTGCACTATCGTATTCTGCACAGATTCAAACACGACCATTCCATAGAAACTTTTCTATCATTTCAGTACGGATGAGAGCTACATCTGTCGCCCATCAATAACAAGACCTCTCAGAGTCCGAGTTAAAGAATATGCCGAGGAAATTGGTATATCATGTAACCCTATCTATAATGTTAAACACAGAGAATCTCCTCCATGGCTGTCACCCAAAATAAATGTGAATCTCGAGCTGACTGCACTATCTAGGAATGACCATCCATCTGAACTCATAAAATCACGTTTTATGGAAATCGTTTCTGGATATCCGGCAGCAAGTTATCTATACAGATGTATCGCGAACTGACAGTGGTGTCGGCTGTGCTATAGTAGTCGATCAAACTGCACATCAATGGACACTATCACCAATAGCATCCATATTTACTGCTGAACAATATGCTATTTGGCAGGCCCTACGATATTGTGACATGTCGAATAACTTAACAACAGCTATTATAGCTAGTGACTCGCTCTCAGCACTTCAAGGCCTAATGAACTATGCATCTCGAGATTCCTTAACTGTGATGTGTCTTGAAACTGTCAAACATCTTTTAAATAAAGGGGTGAACGTAAAATTTCTGTGGTTGCCAGGACACGTTGGTATACAGGGGAATGAAGCTGCTGATATGGCAGCGAAAGCAGCAGCAGCGCAACAAAACATCGACATCCCTGAAATAAAAATGTCTGATCATAAAAACTACCTCATAAACCGTATACAGCGACGCTGGCAAATTACATGGGGTAACACTGATACCCACTTAAGGAAGATAAAACCTAGTGTAGGATCATGGCCACATGCTATCAGACTGCCACGAGAGGAATGGGTGCGCATACATCGCTTACGCTTTGGCCATACACGTCTTACACATGCACATCTTTTGCTCGGAACAGATCCGCCCTTGTGCACTGGATGTAACTCTTCACTCACTGTACGCCACATTATCTGCACATGTCCGATATTGTCCCAATATCGAGTGATCTATGAACCATTTGATAACCTGACAGAGAGTCTCACACAACCAGAAAAACTGAAAAACGTCATATCATTCTTAAAAGTATCTGGTTTCTATTGGAAGATCTGACCTAATGAACTTTTTGGAAATGAACCATTTTAATTTTTGTGTATCTTATTCTCAACTGAGATTAAATGAATGTTATGTAACGTGATTTTGCATCATACCTACCTTAGCTTAGTATTCTCATCTTGAACTAAAAGAAATATGTAGCAATAGAATTTGGATAAATCGAAATACTTACGTGAACGCAAACAAGATCGTGAAATGCAGATAATGACCACAAAAAAAATAATATTAATGAATATATGCCTGACAAATTTAGTCATGTAACATTTCCCAGAGATTATCTTTTGTTGCTAATAGAATCTGAAAGTAAATGACAATAGTATATCCTTTTCGATTAATATCTGGAATTTGCATACTTAGTTTTTTAAAAATGCGACACTTACCACTTAGACATGTAAGAGATTATATATTTTATACTTTAGATTTATATATTATATTTATATATTATTGAATACGGCTAATAACCATAGAAGTTGACGCCGTCAAAAAAAATAATTATAATAATAATAATAATTATAACTATTATAATAATAATAATAATTATAATAATAACAATAATAAATATAATAATAATAATAATAATAATAATAATTATAATAATAATAATGATAATAATAATAATAATAATCATTATTATTATAATAATAACAATAATAATTATAATAGGCCGTCCGGCCAACTATCGGTGTCTTCCTGTAGCATTCCTGTGCGTTACCTAGCAGGATTGTTGCTGGAACATGCCGTAGGATTACCACCTTTGTAGCGTCGCTGCGCTAGGTGGTGTCCTGTTGCTACGGTAGTGTCGAAGACCGTACAGCCGGCGCCCGACCATCTGTCCACTACCTTCATCCTTTTTATGCCGGCTTCTCACTGCGCGTGTTGACCCGCGCCACGCCGCGCCGGCACGCGCCTCGCGCAGTGTGAAGAGCTTGGCGCGGGCAGGCGCGGCGTGGCGCGACCTATCCGCTAAAAGTCGGTAACTTCAAAGGCGCGGCGCGGCGTGTACCTACCCAGACAGACGAACACGATTGAACTCGTTCATTTCATTTGACTCGTCCTACGTTGAGTACTGTGGTGAATATGGAGTGGCCGAATGAAACGATCGCCGAATTTTTAACTTTGTATGAAGGCGAACCCTCTCTGTGGAATTCGAAAATGCGGAGCATAAAAACAAAAACGACCAGCATGATGCCTGGCTGCGAATTAAACAGAATTTAAAAGGTGGTACCACACCGTTACAAGAAATTAAAAAGAAAAGGGATTCTTTAATGGGAACCTATAGAAAATTAAGAAGTAAAGTTTGCCAATCAATAAAGTCTGGCAGCGGTGCTGATGAAATCTATAAGCCTGACTGGCCATTTTATAATGTGATGGCCCAATTTTTGAATGATGTGTATACTCCAAAGAAACGAAGGATTCTGAGGTAAGTACTTTATTTACTTAAAAATTAATAATTATTTTGCCAGGCAACCGCACCGTTTGTTATAAAATATTCTGCAAGCTGGTCTCTTATATTCTTGGCGGAAAGAGGTGCTCTTCTTGGCCGATTTTGGAGTGGTAGTAGGGAAGCAACTCCATTTGGTCATCACGACGCCAAGAACCGGGCTGAATCTCGCCATCATCATTTTCGGTATCAAAGGATCCAGGAGGGTATATATAAGTCTAGACCTTTTAGACCGTCTCAAAAAATTGTGTAACAATGCACATGTCATCACAATATCAGTTACAATATCTGGTTGTAAAAGCATGGGTTTTCTTAGTACTCTAAACACCGCAGACATAATGCCAAAGACATTTTCAACAATCCGTCGAGCTCGTGAAAGGCGGTAATTAACACGCGTTCTTTAGATCCCTTATTATGAGTTCCAGCGTAAGGTTTCATCATATTTTCCGTTAGAGCAAATGCACTGTCTGCAACAAGTACGTAAGGTAGAGGTGTTACTTTCATCAGCGGTAAGCAGTCTGGCGGTGGAAAACCCAATTCCTTTCTACAGATTTGTTTATATAAGTTGGTGTTTCTGTATACACCACCATCGCTTATTCGGCCCTGGCACCCACAATCCACAAAAATAAATTGTAATCCGCGTCGACTAAAGCCATTAATACAACACTGAATGTTTTGTGATAGTTGATAAACTCAGATCCACTATGAATAGGACTTTGTATTAGCACATGTTTTCCGTCGATAGCTCCTAAGCAGTGAGGAAAATTCCAAGTTCTGCGGAATCCTTTCTCTATCCTTAACCAGTCAGATGATGTCCGTGGCAGCTAAAATAAATAGAAATATTGTAAATATCATGAATATTTCTTATTTTTAGGTCACTGACGACATAGAAGAAATAGAAGATAACCGTGATTTAGATGCCTCTGAAGATAGTAAACAGGATGATGAAGATCAGTTCAATTTAAAAGACCAAAACCTCTTCCTAAAAAACGTGCTAAAAAATATTGATATAGAAAATAAAATGAACGAAGCATACGACTATATAAAACAAATGACTCAAAAACCCCAAATCCCGCAAGATGAATGTTCATTATACACACAATTATTGTGCAAAAAATTGAGAGGCTTACCAGAAAATACACGTGAAATAGCGATGTTGGAAATTGATAGATTGATTTTCAATCTGAAGCAAAAAGAACTATCGTCAAACCCACATGCACAAATACTAATCAACCCACCACCAGCCCACGAATTTTGGACATTCCGGCAATCTCTACTATCAGCCATCCACATCCTACCATCCATATCCTTCTCCACAGCAATCCCCAACCTATCATCCATCGCCTTCTTCACAGTCATCCCCAAACTATCATCCATCGCCTTCTCCACAGCAATCCCCAACCTATCATCCATCGCCTTCTTCACAGTCATCCCCAAACTATCATCCATCGCCTTCTCCACAGCCATCCCCAACCTATCATCCATCGCCTCCTTCACAGCCATCCCCAACCTATCATTCATTATCTTCTCGACAGCCATCCCCAACTATCCATCTCCACAGCTGTCGCAAGTCGAAACATCAGCTTCGCAAAGTCTATTAAAAGATTTCTATGAAGAGGAGGGTAGTAATTTAGTTTAAATGGATGATGTCAATTTCTATTTGTTTTACGATTTGAAAAAAATAAATGCTTAATTCTACTACTTACTTTATTTCTTGTGATAGTTCTTTTATCAATGCTTTACAAACGTCCGTGACACAACTTGAAACTGTTTGGATAGATACTTTGAAAAGATATGAAAGGCTTGTGTAACTATCTCCGGTTGCTAAAAATCTGAGAGCAATTGCAACCGTTCTTGTACTGGAATACATTTCTCATATGGGTATCTTGTTTTGCAATGATAGGGCCTATTTTATTCATTAGATAGTTGTAATCTTCTGGTGCCATTCTACAGAAGTTCTCAAATTTTCTGCTCGGTTCTTTAACAAATCCGATAGCATATCTGATCCATTGTATCTGAAACAAAATACAATAATTTTTACTAAATTTCTGGCAGCAAAGTTTCATTTTAAAACGCGCCAAACTTACCAATAGATACCATCAAATATATTGATAGGATTCTTAAAAATTACGTACCTATGTAATTATCTCAAAATACAAACAATGATTACCTTGACCGGCTCTTATTGAACGTTGACATCCACCAGCGTCTCCTCTTCTTGTTTTTGTTAATTTTATTAAGTAAACGATATCCACAAAATAAGACAAAAACGGCTGATGCAACAGCCATGCCTTCTTCTTCAGTGGCATTGCTCCATGGCTGGAGGTGGCAATTCGACTCACAAGACATAGTGCGCTGCGCTAAACAGACTGAATCAAACTGAGGTGTAAAGCCAGAAGGCACGCGCCGCGCCGCGCCGCACAAACGGGTGGCGCGGCGTGTCGCGTGGCGTGTTCTTGCGCGTGGAGCGGCGCGACGCGTAGTAGCACGCGTAGTGAGAAGCCACCATTACACTCGGGTCGGCGTGGGACTATAGTGGTGGAGGGGACGGCATATGCCGACTCCTCGGCCTTTGTCTCAGCCCCACGTCGGCTCGAGTAGACCCATAACCCATCCTTGTCATTTCCATACCTTCTCTCCTTGCCCCCCACTTCGCCCGGTAATCCCATGGTGTTGGCCGTGCTGAGGGATGGATGGCACTACATAAGTGTGTCCCTAACGGCCCCGTGTCTTCCACGTTAAAGAGGCGTGTATCCCCTACGACACAGGGGAATTATGGTCATGTTAAGCAACGCACAAGGAGTACCCCAGGCAGGTAGAGTTCAGGAGAGCTCAGAATCCTGTAGTATAAAAAGCCCCACGGATTCTGGGGGAGGGCAACTTGAAATGTGACGCGGTAAGAGCAGGTGAATCTGCCCCTTGGAGAGAAACCGCAAGGAGAGAGAATCCATTTAACTGGGAAAAGGCGGGACATGTCCCTCGGTTCCTAGTAATGGAAAGGTTGGATGGGGAAAACTTCAGTAAAGTGAGCCCCTTCCTCATTGCAAAGCAATTGCAAGGAGTCGTAGGAAATTTAAAAAATATAAAGAAATCGAAAGAAGGATTGATTTTAGAAGCGGCAACCGACCCACCGGCGAAGCGACTGATGAAAATGGAACGACTTGGACCACATATTGTTAGAGTTAAACCAAACAGAACGTTAAACTTTGCAAAGGTGTGATCACATGTTCAGATTTATTAAACTGCTCCATCCAAGAAATCTTAACGGAACTTGAAAATGAAGGACTCGTCGAGGTGAAACGAATATATAAAAGGAAAGACGACAAATTTATTGAGACGTCAAGCCTAATATTAACATTCAATAGATCCCAAGTACCACGGAAAATTAAAGCAGCCTTTTACGCACTAGAAGTCCGCCCATATGTGCCGAACCCCATGCAGTGTTTTAAGTGCCAGCGATGTGGGCACTTATCGACATCATGTCCGAATGATGAAATTTGTGTTTGCGGTATAGCCCCTCACACTGGACCATGCCCAGAGCCCAAGATATGTGTTAATTGCGGCTCAGAACACTCATCCCGGTATAGAAATTGCGCTAAATTCAAGGAGGAAATGCTAATCCAAAAAACAAAACTCTAGAATCTTTGAGTTACGCGGAAGCCAAGCGAAAAGTGATGAATCAGACGCCAAGGGTTTCATATGCACAAGTAGCTGATAGACAAGCTGAATCCACAAAAACTGTTATGGATGAGATAGTTCCCCTAATCAAGAAAGTTATTGAGGAACAGTTTAAGAAACTTCAGCCACCAAATACGACCCCTAGTCCCAGCACACTTAATACGAAATAAAGAGATGGATGTATCAGCGGTTCAGATCATC